ATTTGATATCTTTGCAAGTCTCTTCGAACTATCAATTTGGTCTGGCCAACTAGATTGGTTTTTCTTATATTTGGAGAAGTGCTTAGCTTTGGGTTCAATCTTGCGGTGCTCGATCCTAGTGACAGAAGGGGAACCGACATGTATTGTATTGTTGCCATCGTGGATAAAAAGATGGGGTTTTCATCATATTGCTTGAGTTTATCCCGCTACATCATGTCATCTTACTTAATGTGTTACTCTATTCTTATGAACTTAATACTCTAGATGTAGGTAGGAGTCGGTCGACGTGTGGAGTAATAGTAGTAGATGTAGAATTGTTTCGATCTACTTGATACATACGTGATGCCTATATTCATGATCATTTCCTTAGGTATCGTCATAACTTCTTTTCTATCAGTTGCTCGGCAGTAATTTGTTCACCCACCGTAACATTTTCTATCTTGAGAGAAGCCTCTAGTGAAACCTATGGCCCCCGGGCCTATTTTCCATCATATAATCTTCTATTTGCCATCATATAAGTTTCCGATCTACAATTTTAGTTTCCTATTTACTTTCTTTGCAATCTTTTACTATCCGTTCCATAAACCAAAATACAAAAAATATTACTTTACCATTTATCTATCTCTATCAGATCTCACTTTGCAAATAACCGTGAAGATATTGACAACCCCTTTATCGTGTTGGGTGCAAGTTGATGTTTGTTTGTGCAGGTATTCGATGGCTTCACTACTGCAGGATGCTGCTAACGCGACACTACAATCAGAGACCCTTTCACGAAACTGTGTGCGATGCATTAATCGCATACGATGGTGTAAAAGAACCATCAAAAAAGGAGCAAAACGTTTGCGATGACGGATGCATCAAACACAATTCAGATTTTTGTTGTGTGTGCGATTCAGGGCATACGGTTCAGTTCAGTTAACTGTTTGCGATGAGGGTGAACAAAAGAAATGGGCTGCCAGACGAAGGCTTGTGCAATGTAGAGCATACGGTTCACTCGGATGAACTGTTTACGATTGATGAATTCATCGCTGACGGGTTACCTAGTGTGGTCCGTGTGTGTTGTGATATGCTTTGTCTGCAGAACATCTATGCTCTGTGTACAGAAGAACAACATATATATATACTTGTAACATGACATGATTGCAATACCAAATTAAACATCCAATTACGTTATATAACAAATACCATAAATATTGCAAGGTTCAAATTCAAAGATTACAACGCCCAAATTCAAACATTGCAAACATCGACATTTCTGCAAAGGGATCAGCCATTGAAAAGTCATGTATGGGTTTGACACAATGACTTCCAATTTGCTCTGCCATATGCTCTTCCAAAATGAAGTTTAGCTTTTTTGGAGCCTCTTCCATTCTATAGTACCTGCCGGCTCTGGTCAACATACCATTCATCTTTCCTAATTAAATGCGTGTTCAACCTTAGTACCGTCAGCACCTTTTCTCTGGCAAGAAAGAACCTGACGAGTGTAATCTCCGGTAAGGTCCCTCGGTAGGAGTTCAAAGTAATATTTGATGTAGATCCAAGCATTCGATGTGATTGTCGTTATAAACATTATCCACCTCCAGGCCTATTATTATCTGTAAAAGAAGAGAACGTGTTAGTGCCTACATGCAGTTTTGAATACTACCACTCCTATTTGGTTTGTAGGATTTGTAAAATGCACCAACATGCCATCTTTGATCTGACATGATTAACATGGGCATTTGATTATAATCTAGAAACATGTAGTCTTCTTCACAAGAGGTTGGATTGGATGAAAATTCCCTAAGAAAACCAGTACAGATGAATCCAAAGGAGAAACGCTTATGGATTGTAACCATATGAATCAAGCAACCAATATGTGGTGGGGGTGTATGTCCTGAAATCCTCCAAAATTCCTTCAGAAATCGTAGTACATTCTCATTGTAAACTTGGGAAAAGGTGCAAAAAATTGAACTCCCTTATGGTTAACATTTAACAGGAAAGCAACATCACCTTGATATACAGCTTCTTCAGGCATGGAAAGCATCTCAGGCAACTGACAACTTGATCCAGGTTGGGGCCGCAGATTCTAGTGCCAAGACCTTCACTATGCCCAGAATCTGGGTGAAGCTTTGCTGGATGACAGACGAACATACATCTTCAAAACTAGAAATAATGTCGATATTAAAAAGAGAGGTATAAGGCGACTGTTGTACATGAAAGTAGTAGTATTTAACAGATGAGTAGCCAACCACTGCCAATTTTGGCGCATAAATGACATTGATTCTTGTTGGACCTTGTTGATCAACTACAAGTAATCTCTCAAGTGAAGGTGTGTCCTCAATGACCATATTGTGGTCCACCTTTTGTGATATATTGTTGCAGCACCAGCAACACATATAAATAGTCCGGAGATTCCTGGAGGTGATGTGGAAGGTACTCGACCAATTCATCGCCTGAAGGCGAAGGAATTCGAGTGTAGTACAACTGTGGAGCAAGCGCTCCATGTAATCCTTTGGGATGCGGACGGCAACGAGCTCGAGGTGCTTCAGTCATGGTAGAAAAAGAGCGGGTGTGTCATTAAGGGGGATGGCAGTTCATGAACTTGGCAAGGCGCAACGTGGGCACGAAGCGGAGCACGGACATTGGTAGCGAGCGCATATGCCCATCATTTAAACTAAGCTTCTCGAGGTGATCTATGGCAGGGGATCGGAACCACTCGTCAAGCTTGTCTCGGTCCTTGTCATTGGAACGGAACATGCCCGTGATAAGGCCTCTGATCGGGCCATTGCACCAAATCCTCCATGACTGCAGGCTGCGAATCTTTGTTGGAGAGCCTTTCCACGAAGATGAAGCATGAGGTGGCGCCCTTGCGACCACCTGGTAGAGCAGCCGTGCCAGGCCGATCAAGGTCGGCTTGCCGTCCAGCTCGCCCAAGGTCCCCGACGACCCTACAATGGAGACGGGCTCCGACGACACCGCGCCGGAGCCCGCATCTGTGCACGCCGGCTTCACCATGGAGCAAGTGTAGGCGCACTACAAAGCCGCCATGGCGGAGATGCAGCCTGCGTTGGCGCCTATGTCGACGTTCCAGCAGGTGTACGAGGAACAATGGTACAACCTATCCTCCTGGAGCAGCACCGGCTGGCAGAGGGCCAGATCGACGACGACCGTGCGAGCGAGGAGGCTGTGGTGACCATAGCCACGGCGAGCCCCAACTTCATCATGGAGCAGCATGCGATCTACAAGGCCGTCCGCGCTCAAGCCGCCGCTTGCCAGGAAGCGCTCGCTGCGAAGGCGCAGCCGCAGGCTGTCACGAAGGAGAACAACACCAACTCGCCTTGTACGCACCGCCTCCGAACTATGGACGACGACAACGTGGACGCCACCATTTCCATCGTGGACCTCACATCCACCGGCGACAAACATGACACGGACTACGAGGATGAGTAGGGCACGAGAGGCGGTAGGGCCTTGTGTCCAATATGGGCCAGTCCATCTCCCGTGTTCACTCTTCCTCGCCGGAGACCGCAACTTCACTTAATTGGTCTTACTGCGGGTGCTCATGAAGACGACGGATGGAGGAGGCGGTCCCAGGAAGGGAACAACAAGGGCTTGGATGTCGGCCAGCGTATTTGCATGAATATCATCTGGTTTATATGAAATCCGTCATGTTTGCACGAATTGCGTCCGGTTTATACAAAGGTGTTTTGTTTGTAAAAAAAAGTGATGTTCAGGATTAAGAATTAAAAGAGTTCAGAATCTAATGGTAGAAGATAGTATAGTCTGTGTAGATGGATAGCACAAGTTGGTCCAAATCCAAATGGCTCCAGAATCAGAGAAATAATGGCTCTTTGAACCTTGGATCAACCACATTATGATCTTCTTTTAGAGGTTGGCAGAAGAGACTATGCGTTTGTAAGCCAAATATAACTAAAACTGACAGATAAAAAACCTGAAGTTAACCAAGCATGACGTAATTACACCCATTAACGAACATAGTATACCAGTTAATCCAATCAAACACAATGGCGATAAATTTATTCCACTCCTTACTCCTGAGATGGTCCTTTTCTTTCACCACCTGTATTATTAGTCCTATAGCCCATGCGATCAGTAACTCTGAGGTCAAACTAGTAACTAGAAAGCTAAAAAAAATCAGAAATAAAATAACTCTTGAGTATCAACATTGCATAGCGGCAGTATTTAAATAATCGCTGTTTTGTTCATTCACAATAATGGAACGAAAGATAAATACTTATATCAATGAGAGCAATCAACTGGAACTTATTTCAAACTCCCCATACAACTCAGAGACGATGTACAAGACATGAGTCACTGGGAGTATCTTGCCATGATCATGATGACTTAAACCACAGATACAATGTCAATCCATAAAGCGACACGTGTACCATATAGAGGCATCAGAAAGATCTGCATTGGCCAAGTGACTAGTTAAAAGATCTGCCATCTTTTGACACAAAGAAAAGGTTGATTTAAGTCTAAAATCCTAAATTTTAATGGTAAATGAAGGCAAACCATATTCATGTCAATGACAGTAACCAGCTGAAACCTATTTCAAACTTACTTAGCATGGCAGATCCAATGCAATCGAAGGCCACTTTGTTAGACATCGCAGTCACAAGGGCTTGACCAAGGTTATAATGCCAATGCATCAAGCAACAAACGTGGTGAATATGTAACCCATATGTAACAGAAAAGCATCAAGAAATTCTAAAGCAAATTGTGTGTCTTGTCGTCATCGTGCTCACCAGGAGTAGTTCTAGAGATACAATGTCAATGCATCAAGCACAAACATGATGAGTATGTAACCTAGTATCATATAAAAGCATCCAGAAATTCTTCAGTAAATTCGGTATCATGTCCAACAGTTATTGGAAGAACAACCTTATTTCCCCACAAGGGGATAAAAACTAGCCTCATGCGCCTCAATCAGATCATAACTCATACTGAATAAAAAGTTATCATGAGCTGAAAAATCTAACCCTCCCCAATTATTAGTTACCCAAAGACAAGGACTCTGCCTTGTCGACGATTGCTTCTTCCTTCTTCACCCCCTCGGCGGGCGTGGAGGAAGTAGCCTCCTCAACCACCACCCAATCAGTGTCCAGGGAGGGAGCGGATTCCTCTCCGCTGTTCTTGTTTGTATCGGCGGTGGCAGCAGCGATGGCCGCTTCGGCTTGGTCGGAGACGGTCTGCTCAGCCTGGAGCACGGGGGCGTAGTAGTCGGCGTGGGCGTCCATGCACTTCTTGAGGTCGGTGGTGACTTGGAAGCAGCGCTCAACCATGTCGGAGCCCTCCTTCTCCGCCGCCTGCATGCACTCCTCCCACGACACGAACGCCTCCTTGCAACCTCCGGCTTTCATGTACAGGCAGAACCCGCATTCCCCTTCTTCCTCCGCATCCGCCGGCTCTGTCTCGACCACCGCTTCTACCGCCGAAGCCTCTGGGGGCGCCTCCTCTCGGCTGCCTCCGGCGCTGGACGACTCCTCAACGACGATGTGGGGCTCCACGGCGGGATCCACTTCGGACGCCATTGCAAAATTTCTCGCACGAGATTTGGTGGATTTGGTTGGGAAAAGAAGTGTTTTGGGAGTCTCGGGGCGGCGGGCTCTGCTTTTTGTGGAGGAAGAAGCAGAGTTCGTCACGGTGACGGACGGTGCCGCCGCCGCCGCTGGTGAGAAGAGAAGACTTGTCCTCGGACACGGAGAGGGGGTCTTTAGTGGGCTGGAGTCTTTGTGCTCTCGCGTTTCTCAAGAGGCCCGGAGCCCCGCCAATAGGGATCGGCCCGTTTAAGCCCGGCCTAATAGGTAGGACTAGGAGAGTAGGGGATAAGGAAATTACCCGCAAGAGCGACCGAACACTGACACGCCACAGCACCAAGCTCCTCGCTACTCCACGGCCATGGCCACCGCCGTCGCCGCCTTCCGCTCTTTCATTCACCCCACCGCCATTGCCGCCGCCATCCCACTCCCTCCTTCTCACTTCAACCTCAACAACTTCCAGCGGCACTGCGTCGGGCTCCGCCTATTCTCCTCCTCCCACCGTCGCCACCCCATTCTCCTGCCCGCCTCCACCTCCGCTGCTTCCGGCCAAGAGTTCTCTTCTGACGGAGAATATTACTCTGAGGAGGGTCCAGAGGAGTACGTGGAGGAAGAGGGAGAGGAGGCAGAACCCGAGGTCCAGGCAGTTCGCGGTTACTATCCCCCGAGAAACCGGCCGGCACTTGGACAAGAGCCCGGGCGAATCTACGTCGGCAACCTGCCCTACACCTTCACCGCCGCTGAGCTCACTGCAGCATTCTCCGAGCCCGGCAGCGTCGACGATGTCCAGGTACTCGCAAGCTAAATGCAATCCAAATCCTATCTTCAATTTGTGCCTATCTCTGGTCTTCCTGCAGCGGTTTGATGATTGCGCTCCTGCAGATAATATATGACAAAATCACCGACCGGAGTCGTGGCTTTGCCTTTGTCACCATGGCCACCGCCGAGGAGGCTGCCAAGGCCGTCCAGATGTTCAACGGAGCTGTGAGTTCCGCACTAGTTGGATCATCAATTCTTCTCCATTCCACACAAAAGTGTGTTCCTGTTCTTGGTCATGAATGCATATGTGTCAATGCAGCTGCTGGGAGGGAGGACAGTCAGGGTGAATTTCCCGGAAGTGCCGCGAGGAGGAGAGAGGGCAGTGGCATCGGCAGCGGTTGCAAGGACTAGCTTGCGTGTTGTTGACGATGGGACATACAAGGTTTACGCCGGCAACCTGGGGTGGGGTGTGCGGGCTGATGCACTCAAGACGGCATTCGAGGGGCAGCCTGGCTTGGTTGGTGCCAGGGTAATCTTCGAGCGTGACACGGGTCGTTCCAGGGGGTTTGGCTTTATCTCCTTTCAGACAATAGAAGATGCAAAGGCTGCCTTGCAGGCCATGGACGGAGTGGTATGCCTTTGTTGCAACCTTAGAACAAAAATTCCCACCACATCACTTCATTGGATTACCATGGTACTCCCTCGGTCCCGAAATACTTGTCGGAAGAATGGATGTATCTAGATGTATTTTAGTTTTAGATACATCCATTTTTATCCATTTCTCCGACAAGTATTTTCGGACGGAGGGAGTATAATAATAATAGCATAAGTAGAGCGAAGCCATGCATGATAAGAACGGACGAGTACTTGAAAACTAAACTATGAAATGTAGGAACAAGGTTACCAGGTGTTTCTTGTTATAGTTGTAAGTACTCCCTCCGTCCCATAATGTAAAACGTGTAGAGTCAAAAAAACGTCATTATGGGACAGCACTAGAGTAAAAAAAGGTTTTACATTATGGGATGGAGGGAATATTTCGTAGAGAAAAATGAGTCAATAATGATAACATGAACTAACCAAATTATAACTTCTCTGTGTACTCTATGCATGGATAGATCAATAATCATGTATATAATCATAAGTTATGCACAATGGCCAATGGGTACCCTAAGATCTCACCAACATGTTTAATTTGACATGGATTCACTGGTGAAAACAGTGGTTGGTTGACATGTTTACTGAATGCAGGAACTGGATGGGAGGCCACTCCGACTTAGTCTGGCGGCACAGAACCCTCCAGCTGGATCAACTCCTAGCACAGTGCAGTCCCAGCAAGAACAAACTGCCTCAGGTGGTTCTGAGCCAGAGGTCGACAAAAACAGTACTACTTCAGGACAATTTGAAGGCGAGATGGAAAAGAGCAACTTACAGACAACTGCCAGCTATTAGTAACTACTAATAGACAGGTAGAGATGATTGAGTTGTAAGCTTGGTGCACCGGTTCAAAAATTCTGCCGTTCCAATTCAAGATGTACTGGTCTGAGCAAAAATTTTGACGCAGAAGTGGGATTTCAGCCATGGATACTAGATTATTAGACTCTTGTAATATGTTGCAGAAATATCTGGATCCAAAGTGCGTCATGTAAACATGTTCAATTCAGTAGAGATGTTTTGTATATTGTATAATATAGAGTACTGGATTGACTAATTGGTTGTGCACTTTTATGAAATAAATTGGAATGATACCCAGGGTGTTCGCTACTGTCAGTTTTGCTTTTAGGCTCTTAGCTCCTTTCTGTCTGGACTTGTTTCCACACAAAAGGCGATTTGAGTGATTGCAGGCTATTCATTTTGGCACATATATGTACAGTGGAAATAATCTGCACTTTAATCTCTGAGGCACGAACGAACATACGATGCTATTTCCAAATTGAAGCTTGTCAAATTAGAAGAATTTTAGGACACCATAAATATTTCATAGACACCACAAAACCGAAGAGCAAGCAAAAATGAAATATTTCAAAACAATTCACTCTGCATTATCAGCTACTCTGTTCTGCAGTAACACCACCACTCTCAAGCTGTGCATCTGCAGAAGCATCTATGTCATGAGGGAAGAAGAGCCTGCAGGGTAGAAAGATCTCTTAATGATAGCATCTAAAAACTGGAGATAACGTTAGTAGCAAAGCTCTGTCTAACATAAGAAAACCTAGCCATATTAGAGTGTCTACAGGGAAGGTATGATGTTTCCTAGTTAGTGACGGCTCACCTGCATGTGTTGTGGTACAGAGTTTTACTTAAGCCTTCTATATCAGCAATACCTTTGCATCCAGCCACTACCTCAAGGACTTGCCTGTAATGGAGAAATCTCTATTTTTGTCAAAAAAAAATGGTGGTAAGAGTCACATGCAAATATTTAGCGCAGCAAAAGAATAGAGAAGTCAATTTCCGGTCCACAAACAGTTGATTACAGATTGTCATAATGAGATGTAATAAAATGCTTCAAACATCCTAGTAAAAGAGCAGAGCAACAAAGAATAGTTTGGTTCTACATCAAGGCACAAGGCTAACAAACAATTTGCTGCATGGCAGAAAACTTTAATTGCAAGTGGTTAGTGGTCAGAACTTCATTTGATAAAGACAACATTTCAAGCACACATCTAATTTACTACTCCCTCTGTAACTTAATATAAGACATTTTTTGACACAGTCATGGACTCTAAAAATGTCTAATAAAAAGTTACAGAGGGAGTGGTTTATTGTTTCGAACAGAAATAGCATAAGGATTGATCTACTTCAGAAAACCAATGCAGTATTTGGTGAAGCAAAAGCAAAATAATCATTCCAGGTGTAAGTAAACTTGACATACAAAGTTGCAGCTTGGAGATCAGTCCAAACATTTGCTTCAGCAAGAATTTTATGCACAACTGCTTCCACATACCTTACTAAACAAGGCTCATTGCGACCCTTAACTGTTAAACCAGGTTCATACTTCTCTTTCTTCTTGGATGGCCAGATCGATTTTACAAACTGGATTCCAGCATGAGTATTTTTTATGTCACAATAAGGAGAATCTGTCTCTATCATCAACCTCTCTGCAGGAATACCTCCTACAATCTCAAGATTTTCTTTAGTCTTCAAAGAGCAGCCATTAATACCTGCAGTGGTGCATGAAGAGTTATTATTTACAAACTACAAGGCATCATAGAGTTATTACAATAAAAGACAGAATATCAAATGCTAATTTAACTTCAAGTGACATTGCCCAGATGGAGGCTTTCCATCAGAAAAGCCATTAAGCCAATCTAAATAGCTTTCGCCACTAATGAAAGAATGTTTGTGGTTCTGAAGTTTTACAGTTATTATGTTGCTTCGCATGCAGGTTTGTGAGACCAAGGGAGGGAAATGACCTATAAACATATTCTCGATAGAAAGAAGCTTGTCACGTTCTTCTGCAGTACCAGTGAAGGAATGCGTAACCCCACCTGGAAACCTACCAAACAGAAATGTGGTTCACAGAAATAAATATAGGAAATAACCATGTATAATTTAATTCACAAAGGGATACAACTAAAACATAATAATCCATCGACTGTTTTCTTCTGATCTCAGAACAAAGATGTATGAAACAGTGCTTTTTTACCATGATCATCAATTGTGTTTTGTCATTGTGGTCTACAGAATAAACATTACCTGTACAGATTTTGTGATACGATTTCAGAGAAGTCTTCACCAGCAGCACGCATGTGAAGAAACATCGGTAGTTTTACTGCTTCAGCCAATTCGAATTGTTTCTCAAAGTACCTAAAATGAAAAATATTTCAGAAAATGCCGAGTAATTGCCGGGTTGTCTTTGCGATTGTGCAGGACCATACTTCTTCTGAATATCTGAAGGATAGAACTGAAGCCTGTCATAATCCAAACCACACTCGCCAACTGCCACAACCTGCAGAAACTGAATCCACTTAGAGTTTGCAAGTATAGTGTCCAAAGAGCAGAAAAGGGCATGGTAACTACTGAATTTCTTTTTCTTTTGCAAAGAATAACTACTGAATTTCTTATTGCGCAAAAGATCATATCTTCATGGAATTAGATTGATTTCCTTTGCAACGGAAGATTATCAGATTGTGTGAGCTTGTTAACCATATTGGTATATCATCATACAATGGTTGCCACAGAAGGACATCTGCACATAAGGATACTTATTAATGATATTCAATATTTTAGTAAGCAATGAATGAGTTGGGGTCCTTCCTAAGGCCCTGTTCGGAGTCACTCCAGCTCCTAAAAATACGAGGAGCTGCGGAGCATCTGTTTCCCAGCTCCGTGCTTTTTAACTCCAGCTCCGGGAGCGGAGTGGTGGAGTGGTGGGTCTCCGAACAGGGCCTAATTGACAAGATTCTCAGGGTCCTATTGTTTGTAAGCAAAGATAAGGGTATCCAAAGTTTACGAGAAAGTCCATCACTAGAGCATATGCCTATACTTTTGCCTTGCAGTTGAAGCACTGTGTAAATTCTCAAACAAGCAACCATATGATCCATATACACACCTTGCCCTTCTCGATGCCCTCCTTCGCCAAAGCCAAGAGAGCCTGAAAATGCCCTTCCGGGTCTCCACCCTCCTCAAACTCCTAAACCATCCAAAAAGTAGTAAATGTAGACAACCAAAGCACAAATGCACATATCCATCTCAAAAACAGTCACGACCAAAGCAAGAAATATATTCCAATATTACCCCGCATCTTGTCGGGTGGACTCCCACGGTGCAGAACAGCCTCCCTGCATTGCATACACACGCAGAAAAAAGAAATTCCTCAGGCGCATTCCATCAAACACTGTGCCTGCACCAGTCAGCCAATATACACCATCATAGCAGCCGTGCATACCATCGGTCTCGGCGATCTCAAGCGCTTCCCTAGACTCCTTCAGAGACCCTCCGGTGACCTGATGTAGGACCAAATGATGAATTGTGCTTATAGCATACGAAATTCAGACAAATCAACCGGAGCAGAACAAAGTAGGAGGCAGAGCAGACAGGTAGTCATACAATGATGCGGTGGACGCCGGCAGCCCAGGCTCGCGCGAGGACGCTGGGGAGGTCGGCAGAGTGGCATTGCTTGCCGTGGTAGATGCCCTTAAACATGCCATCTTCGCAGCAGCATGACACAAAAGGTGAATCAGCAAATCACCAAGAACAAAAATGATGTCAGCTTTAAGGTGTTACGGGCGGAGGGAGAAGGTCCTACCAGTAAAGTTCACTGCGATGTCTGGTGGCCGAGCCGGAGACGGGGTAGAAGATCAGAGGAGGGGGTGAGCGGTCAGTTTGGGTAAGAGCAGCAAATCGCTGAATCAGAGAAAAGATGTACGGGAGAGCAAAGGGTGGTTTTAGTGTGTTCTTTTAGGGGTAAAGGTGAGAGGAGCAGAGCACTTGCCGATGAGCTTGACGGTGTTGGACGCCATGGCCGCCGGTCGCGAGGAGGAAGAGGTCAGGCGGTGTCGGCCATGGAGCAATGAAGTCTCTCTTTATGTGATGTGCAATTGTGGATGGAGGAGAGAAGTGATTGGGCCGTTATGGGTCAGCATAACTTCCAAACAGTTGCAAAGCCCAATAAGTAAGTGAAGCCGAAACGACGACGACCCATAAGTTCCCCTCCCCTCAGAAAAAAAAAGACGACGACCCATAAGTCCGATGGTCTGACCCAAACCAGAGTCATCGCCACGAAGCGAACGCAAACTCAACCAACTCGTGCGAGGATGGCGCACGCTCTCGCCCGGGCGCTCCGCTCGCTGCTCGCCAGATGCTCGACCAAATGTCCCTGCGCCGCCGTGGCTGCCGCTTCCTCGTCCTGCCTCCGCAGCGCCGTTCCGCGCGCTTCCTACGCCGCCTGCCCCAGGAGCATCCTTCCTACTTCATGCGGGGGGGCCGTACCTGCGGCGCAGACGCGCTTCCTGGCGAGTACAGCGGGCCCTGGCCCAGGCGACGAGGGCTCGGGGGAGGAGGAGGAGGAGGAGTCTATGGCGGAGTGGGAAGAGGATGAAGACGATGGGGCCGATGCTGAGGTATTTCGGCTCCGCCTGGAGCACGCTCGCCCAAATGCTGTCCGGCCTGCTCTTGACTCCTTGGTACGTTTCAGATCGGTGATGGCGGCAACGGCGGCGGCGTCGCCCTGCGGGACGTCAAGTGGGGCGCGCGCGCTCTTGCGGCGGCCGAGGAGGTTCTTGGCGAGCACTTTGGCGATGCCATTGCCATGTTCGCCTTCAAGGTGTCGCCCAAGGGGTACGTCTACGTGCGGCTGGACAAGCTCACCAACAGGTTCGTGAGTTTACAACTGTCTGTCTAGTTGGAGGCAGGCATCGCTTGCTGGCTTTCATTTTCTCACTGTAATGGTGCACATGCACAATAAACGAATTAGACTGTCGGTGTAAAATCACATCAGTGAATGAATTGTCTGCTGAAATGGTCATCCAATGGCAGTTGCCTCAAAGGCTGAATTAATGTCAAATCCAGTCACATCTCATGTTCGACTTCTCTTTGGTCAGAAAGCGGGTTGTTGTACTTTTCGCTCATTGATATGATTGAGTGTGGCTTCTCTAAGCAGAGAGCTGTACCTATAAACATTTGTGGTTTCAATAGTCATACTTTACTAAAAACCCAAAAACATTTCTCCATATTGAATTAGTTAGGATATGGGTACCATTAAAGTTAAATCTCATGGCTGTATTGAGTGTAGCAATTGTGCATTTCGCAAAATATTCAGTAACCCATTCAATTTTATGCATTGTCATTCCACCATGATGTACCTTGACAGTATAAGTAACTCCTCTTTTTTCCGTTCAGAGTTCAGTCTCCAATTTAAGGATATCAAGTAGTACCTACTTTTCTGTATCTTATCTGTTCACTTAGACTAGATAATGCCCAAAAAGGTCCCATGTCAAAATGCCTTGGCTATCACCTACTCCCTCCATTCCAAAATACTTGGAAGCTCTAGGTTTGACCTAAATTAAACTTCTTCAAGTTTGACCATGTATATAGAAAAATATATTAACATCTACAACTCAAATATATATAGTATGAAAATATATTTCATGATCAAGCTGATGCAGAGGCTGGGGGTTATCCTCCTTTTCCAAAAAATATATATATATACTTCATGATCAAACAACATCAAATCTAATAAACCTAATTTTGTGCTGTAGATGTTGGTATATTTTTCAATTGACTTGGTCAAACTTAAAATGTTTGAGTTGGAACAAACCTAAAACTTTAAGTATTCTAGAACGAAGGGGGTACTGCTTATTGTGCAGGATTGCATCCAGTGTTGTGCCTTGTTGCGTTAGTTATCTTGAATGTTGAGTAGATTGATACCACCAAAATGTTCTCTTCATCTAACCTGATCTGAATAGGCTGTTTATATTGAAATTGATATGGGCAAAATGGCAATCTTATTTCTTTCCCCGTTTGAGAAATTTCTACAGGTATGGGTGCCCTGGTATAGAGGAAATAGAGAATTTCAATAGACTCTATAAGCAGAAATTGGATGAGATAATTGAAAGAGGCGAAATACCCCTCGACCTGGCTCTTGAGGCAAGTCAGCCTGCCAAAATTTCTTACACAATGGTCGCTCCTGAATTTTGCAACCACTTACAAAGAATTAATCTTGTGTTTCAGATCTCATCACCAGGAGCAGAGCGACTTCTGAAGGTGCCGGGTGATCTGGATCGCTTCAAAGATATGGCAATGAGGGTACAATACCATGCTGAAGGTGATGGCCTTATTTCGGATCAGATGGATGGTATCTTCATGCTTGAGTCAGTAGACATTCAGGCAGAACACTGTGTTTGGAAGCTCGCGGACGTCAGCGAGAACCGAGCTGGGAAAGGGAGGCCGTTGAACAGGAAACAGAAAGATTGGAGGCTGCAAACCTCATTTGATGCAGTGATGAAGGCAACCCTATACTTGGACTGAAAACATTAGAAAGATCAACAACTTGATAATAGTAGTCTGGTTAGAGCTCTAAGTGATGTGATGAACATCATGTAACACTGGCAAAAGCTTGTTCATTTTGGGAACTGCATCCCGGAATTCTGGAGCAGGTTGTATCGTACGACACAGATATCTGATAACTGCCAGAACACATAATAGTGTGACATTATGTTTCAGGGCCTCTTCGATTCGCAGGATTCTCAAAATGTGATTGGAATGTCATGCTCATCTCAATCCTACAGGATTTGGGGTTGTTTAATTGCGTTATAGGAAAAACAAAGGATTGTTTCGAAGAGTTTGATTGAATGCTAGAAGTCCTATGGGAAGTAGTAAAAAAATCATCGGGAAAAATTCCAATAAGATTCAATCCTATGAATCAAACAATAACATAGGAAAAATTCAGAAGGAGCCCTTAGTGTTTGATGTAAACTTCACAGTATCATTCTTCTCATGATCATGCAGTAGTGAGGGAGTGTACTGGCAGTTCACGTCTGCATTCAAAGATGTTCTCATGAAAAACGTTCGTTGGTACATTTGGTACTCCCTCCATATATAAATATAAGAGCATTTAGATCACTACAGCATCAGATAAAACAGGATCTATCCATCTCCACAACACTAGACAGCAAGTGTTGAAGGTTTTATTTATCCGTACATTATTTGCTAGTATATCCCCTCGGACAGGTTACAAGAGAGGATAGCTTTTTATTCGGTTGCCAAGTTTGGAATATCAGATCGAAACAAACCGCGCATGCCATTACACTCCGCGCCTGCTCTTCTTCTTGAGAAATCTTGCCGGGCTGAAGGGCGCGAGATCAACAATCTTGGCGTGTCCATCGAGGATGAGCTCGGCGAGTGCTGCACCGGTAGCAGGAGCATTGAGGATGCCCCAGCAGCTGTGCCCGGTTGCAACGTAGCATCCCTTCACCCCAGGCATCTCCCCGATGACCGGCAGCCCATCATTGGTGCACGGGAGGTAGCAGGCCTGTTCCGCGACTACCTCTGGGCCCTCCTCTGTTTTTTTTTTTTTTTGAAAGATCCAGCAAATTGCTGGCTTCAATTAGATTAAGCAGAAAGTAGCGGAAGAACAACATGGGGAGGATCCGAAGATCAATGAGAAAAGAAAAACGACAACCCTATTGGCCATCGAACAACACTACCCTTACACGGCGGAACGCCATCCACTCACAGCAAGACAACGCAACTCCAACTCCTGCGGAGAACTACAGAGAGCAAAGCAATGTTGGCGTCACGGAAGATCACTGAACGGACCACTTGTCGCTCGTCATCGTACACCACCGGTGCCCCGCACCGCAGCTTCGACTTCACAGAAACAAGCAGCCGAGGTAGTCTCACGGACACGCCGGAGAAGAGCCGACTACCATGACCAATGCCACGCCTCCGACAATGCTCACCGCCGTTATCGTTGCCACAGAAGCCAGACTGCTCCATTGCCGTGCGGACACGACCGAGCAGCACGACCTCCCCCACCTATCACTGGTCCCTCTGGACGGTAAGGAGCTCCTGGAACGATGCCCCAAGAGGTGCGACGCACGCCGCCATCATCGTCCGATCCTAGGGGATCAAGGGTTTCCCCCGAGCATCCTTGCGTAGTGGAGTGAGCAGGAACGCCTCAGCGACGCCTTCAAGAAGGAAGCGGCGCCCGCAGGCGTCGCCGTCGCCTGCCCCAGCTCAAGAGCCGGCAGCAAAGTCTTCACCCGGCGCTGCACCTCCGACCACCAACCCGAGCCAGACCACCACTGCAGACGCACGGCCGGCGGCCGCCGGCCCCACGCGCCCAACGTCCTCCGCAACCACCTTCAGAACTGGACGCCGGGGTCCAGGTCTTCATTGCTGCCGCCGGTCCTCGCCGGATAGAGCCGCCGGCCCCATGCGCCCGACGGTCGTCACGGCCTCCTCACAGAACAGGGCGCCGGGGCCCGATCTGCTTCGCACCATCCCTGGAGCCCAACTAGTCGACTGCCGCCGGTGCACAGCCCACGCGCCGCCGAGAAGCTGGCTCCCGCCTAACCCATCTCCTCTGCCGCAGCACCAAGCAAGAGACGGCGGCCCTCTTCAGATCCAGCAGGGGCCTGCCCTGGTGCGGTGCGCCTGCGACCCGCACGGCCAGCGCATGGCCCAGGCCGCAGCCATCCCTGCCTCACTGCCCGCGCCGCACAGCCGAGGAGCTCCGCCATCGCGCCCAACTCGCCAGATCCGCGCCCTTCCCCGAGCCGCCAGATCCGTAGCCTCGCCGGCACAGCCAAGCTTCGCCGCCCTACGCGCGCCTCCCCGCGCTCGAACGCGGCCGCCCCAGCCCGTGCGCGCACCGGCGCGGGAGCTGCGCCCTGGATCCCGCCGAGATGGGCAGCCCGCACTGCTGGAGCTCAGACGGGAGGAGGGAGTGCCCCGCCGCCGCCGAGCCGCGCAGGCTTTGCCCGGCGACGTCTGCCGGCGGCGGCGAGGGGAAGCTGACCGGTGGATCTGCGCTGGCGGCGGCAAGGTTTTCGCCCCCCTGGCCGCCCGCGGGAGCGACCGGAGGACCAAAGAATCCTTCTACTCTACTGTATGCAGTTCAGCTGCGCCCTCCTCTGTCTTCAGTTGGCTGGACACCCTCCCAGCGATCTTGTGAAGCATTGCAATGGAGTCCGGCTCCCCGGCAATCGCTGCCGGATCATCTGGAACATCCTCGTCCTTGCTCATTCCGCAAATGTACACCTCCCCTGTTCAAGGACAAACAGCAACAACTAGATGTTTAAACATGGGTGCCGTTCAGTTTGATGCACACATACTTCAGCTTGAAGAACTGCGTACCCGTGGGGCGCGGGTAGACCTCCGGGTCGAGCATCTTGCCGCCGGGCTCCGGCTGGTAGCTCAGGAACAGGCAGTGCGGCGTGATCTTGTCGGGGTTGCGCGGCCGGAGCACGATGCTGTGCGCCTTGAGCCCGGACACGTCGAACACCTCTTTGACCATCTCGAAACGCCCAGACCAAGGGCCGAGCGCGAGCACCACGGCATCCGCGTCCACCACGCCGCGCCCCTTCACCGCGACGCCGACGACACGCCCTTCGTTGACCACCACGCGCTCCACCTCGCCGATGACCGCCTCGGCGCCGGACGCGGCGAGGACGGCCTTGGTGAAGAGGCCCGGATGGACCTGCGCGGTGGTGTCCGGAGTTCCGAGCTGGCGCGGCGGCGCGGCGGAGGCGGAGGGGTCGACCCAGGAAGGGAGGAGCGGGTGGGGTGACGGGCTCGGCGGGCTGAGAGGGGAGGCAGATGGAGAGGGTGTGGACGGGGCGGAAGCCGTACGCGTTGGCGCCGTCGAGGGCAGCGGCGAGGCGGCGGTGGAGGCCGAAGGATGCTCGCGCCAGCGCCGAGAGTGCGGGGGTGGAGTCGCTCCAGTCGAGGGCGAGGAAGCCGCCCGCCTTGCCTGAGGCAGCGCAAGCGGGGGAGGACTTCTCGACGAGGGTCGGCATGGTGGGGGAGGCCGGGTGGGTGGACAGGAAATAGGCCGTGCAAGCGCCGACAACGCCACCGCCGCAGACGACCACGCGGCGGGGCGGTGGGGCTGGCGCGCTGGCCATGATGTCGTCGCTCTCCGGATTTGGAGCTGCGGGTGTGTTGAACTTGAACGGGAGGTGGAATAAAGTCGCGAAAACTCAATCCCCTTTGCAAACCTGCATCAGGATCATTTCTATACTACTTCCACTATGTGCTTCCGACGCGTGGCGCGCAGCGCCAAAATAGTTTTTTTCTTTTACGCGCAGTATGGCGCTCTCTCCAGCGGCCGCTGCAAAAGATGGCGCGCGCGAACAGCTCCAGCAGGCGTGGTAAATATACGGCGTTCGTGCCCAACACAAACAACATTTCACACTCAAAATAGAACCAAAAAGATCAAACACATAAAAAATAAATCAACAATAAATAGTTGAATTTATTACTGTTAGAGAGGATAGAGAGGATTGGCGGATTACGATGGATATATCATTGAGCCTCGAGGGTGAGTATATATTGAGTACAAGACTTGGAAGGCAAGAAGCCTCTCCTCGAGATAAGGTAGTAGGCGGATTACAAATCATAGACTACCAAATACATGTAACCCAAATATATCTCTAACATCCACCCGCAGTTGTAGCGGTAGCGTCGCAGACAACAGGAGCAGCGCGGATGGTCAGACTGGAGAGAATAGCAGCCGGCGGGCTGATATCCCCTCGCAGTCGTAGTGGGAGCGTCGTTGACGGTGTCACGATGCGGTCGCGTTACCTGTACAGGAAGCCGACGAGTTGCTCAAGCGAGGTGATAGCCCATTGTGTCGTTGTCGAGATAGCCGAGAGCGTGGGTGATGTAGGGTAGAACCTTAGATGCCCGATCTTTCACAATTGGAGCAAATCCCGCGAGGAACACGAGGGGAAACACGGGAAAAACATGAGAGAAATCACTCAAACCAACAATATTCGATTACACATGCGCTAGATCCTCGAAACACAAAGAGATACATGATCCACGAACAACAAGGGGCGATACAAGTAGCAAGTTCTTCTCCGTGAGGAGGTCTTGAGGGGTCTTCCCGCGAGGGGTCTTGAATCCACTTTGGGGATCTTCTCCGTAGAGGTCGTGAACTCCGATGAAGAAGGGGATCAAGTGGAGAGCAATGCTTCTCAAATGAGCTACTACTTTCCTAACCCTAAAACGTAGGTAGGAGGAGAGTATATATAGTCTAGGGGCGAAAGGGTACATGGGCCTCGGCCCAAGTCACTGCGCGCAGGCAGGGCCGGAAGTTCCGGGCGCCGGCGGTTCCGGGCCAAGGTCCGGGGAGGGTCCGGCCTAACCAGAGAGTTGGCACGGTGGGAGCTGGGCTTACGTCCGGGGGGCGGAAGGTCCGGGCAGGCCGGAAGGTCCGGGCTGGTTCCGGGCTAAACAGAGAGTTGGCGCGCACGGGCTTGTCTGGGTCATCGAAGACATGAAGTTCTGGGTCGACCGGAGGCTCCGGGGGCCGGAAGTTCCGGGCTGAACAGAGATTTGTCGCCTGTTCCTTCTTCCTCAGCTCTCGGCTTCGTGGCTTGTGCGTTGTACCTGGCCATGTTGGGGATCGCAGCAGAAAATTAAATTTTCTACGCATCATCAAGATCAATCTATGGAGTCATGTAGCAACGAGAGAGAGGAGTGCATCTACATACCCTTGTAGATCGCGAGCGGAAGCGTTCAAGAGAACGGAGTTGATGGAGTCGTACTCGTCGTCATCCAAATAACCGATGATCCTAGCGCCGAACGGACGGCACCTCCGCGTTCAACACACGTACGGAGCGGAGACGTCTCCTCCATCTTGATCCAGCAAGGGGGAAGAAGAAGTTGATGGAGATCCAGCAAGGCTTTGCCAAGCGCTACTGGAGGAGGAAGAGGTGTCACGGGAGGGAAAGGGAGGCGCCAGGGCTTAGGGTGCGGCTGCCCTCCCTCCCCTCCACTATATATAGGGGCTATGGGGCGCATGCCCCCTTGGAGATCCCATCTAGAGGGGGGGGCGGCGGCCCCCCGGGGGCAACGGCCCTCTTAGGGTTTCCAACCAGGGGGGTGCATGCCCCCTCAGGGGGACAACGGCCCCCTAGGGTTTCCAACCCTAGGCGCCTTGGGTGGGGCGCACCAGCCCACCAGGGGCTGGTTCCCACACCACTTAGCCCATGGGGCCCTCCGGGATAGGTGGCCCCACCCGGTGGACCCCCGGGACCCTTCCGGTGGTCCCGGTACATTACCGGTGACCCCCGAAACTTTCTCGGTGGCCGAAACCGGATTTTCTATATATAAATCTTTACCTCCGGACCATTCCGAATCTCCTCGTGACGTCCACGATCTCATCCGGGACTCCGAACAACTTTCGGTTAACCGCATACTAATATCTCTACAACTCTAGCGTCACCGAACCTTAAGTGTGTAGACCCTACGGGTTCGGGAGACACATAGACATGACCGAGACAACTCTCCAGTCAATAACCAATAGCGGGATCTGAGTACCCATATTGGCTCCCACATGCTCCACGATAATCTCATCGGATGAACCACGATGTCAAGGATTCATTCAATCCCGTATACAATTCCCTTTGTCAATCGGTACGTTACTTGCCCGAGATTCGATCGTCGGTATCCCAATACCTCGTTCAATCTCGTCACCGGCAAGTCACTTTACTCATTCCGTAATGCATGATCCCGTGACCAACCACTTGGTCACATTGAGCTCATTATGATGATGCATTACCAAGTGGGCCCAGAGATACCTCTCCATCACACGGAGTGACAAATCCCAGTCTCGATTCGTGCCAACCCAACAGACACTTTTGGAGACACCTGTAGAGCACCTTTATAGTCAACCAGTTACGCTGTGACGTTTGGTACACCCAAAGCACTCCTACGGTATCCGGGAGTTACACAATCTCATGGTCTAAGGAAATGATACTTGACATTAGAAAAGCTCTAGCAAACGAACTACACGATCTTGTGCTATGCTTAGGATTGGGTCTTGTCCATCACATCATTCTCCTAATGATGCGATCCCATTATCAATGACATCCAATGTCCATAGTCAGGAAACCATGACCATCTGTTGATCAACGAGCTAGTCAACTAGAGGCTCACTAGGGACATGGTGTGGTCTATCTATTCACACATGTATCACGGTTTCCGATCAATACAATTATAGCATGAACAATAGACAATTATCATGAACAAGGAAATATAATAATAACCATTTTATTATTGCCTCTAGGGCATATTCTTGCACTAGAGTCAATAATCTAGTTACATTGTGATGAATCGAACACCCATAGAGTTCTGGTGTTGATCATGTTTTGCTCACGGAAGAGGTTTAGTCAACGGATCTGCGACATTCAGATCCGTATGCACTTTACAAATATCTATGTCTCCATCTTGAACTTTTTCACAAATGGAGTCGAAGCGACGTTTGATGTGTCTGGTCTTCTTTTGAAACCTGGGCTCCTTGGCAAGGGCAATAGCTCCAGTGTTGTCACAGAAGAGAGTCATCGGGCCCGACTCATTGGGAATAACTCCTAGGTCGGTAATGAACTCCTTTATCCAGATTGCTTCATGTGTTGCCTCTGAGGCTGCCATGTACTCCGCTTCACATGTAGATCCCGCCACGATGCTTTGCTTGCAACTGCACCAGCTTACTGCCCCACCATTCAAAATATACACATATCCGGTTTGTGACTTGGAGTCATCCAGATCTGTGTCGAAGCTAGCATCGACGTAACCCTTTACGACGAGCTCTTCGTCACCTCCATAAACAAGAAACATATCCTTAGTCCTTTTCAGGTACTTCAGGATATTCTTGACCGATGTCTAGTGTTTCATGCCAGGATTACTTTGGTACCTTCCTACCAAACTTACGGCAAGGTTTACATCAGGTCTGGTACACAGCATGACATACATAATAGACCCTATGGCTGAGGCATAGGGGATGACACTCATCTTTTCTCTATCTTCTGTCGTGGTTGGGCTTTGAGCTGAGCTCAATTTCACATCTTGCAATACAGGCAAGAACCCCTTCTTGGACTGATCCATATTGAACTTCTTCAATATCTTACCAAGGTATGTGCTTTGTGAAAGACCCATGAGGCATCTCGATCTATCTCTATAGATCTTGATGCCTAATATGTAAGCAGCTTCTCCAAGGTCCTTCATTGAAAAACACTTATTCAAGTAGGCCTTTATGCTCTCCAAGAGTTCTATATCATTTCCCATCAACAGTATGTCATCTACATATAATATGAGAAATGCTACAGAGCTCCCACTCACTTTCTTGTAAATGCAGGCTTCTCTATAAGTCTGCATAAACCCAAACGCTTTGATCATTTCATCAAAGCGAATGTTCCAACTCCGAGATGCTTGCACCAGCCCATAGATGGAGCGTTGGAGCTTGCATACCTTGTTAGCATTCTTAGGATCGATAAAACCTTCCGACTGCAT